CTGAGTTCAACAGAAGTATAACAGATCCTAATTTGAAGTTAAAAGGAGAAAGAGGCCAGGTGGATTCATTCAGATGAGCTACCGTATCATTGCATTTTGAAAGTTCTGTGCAGGAAATGAATTTTGGTGATTTCTGAGACATCAGACTTATAGCTGGATAGACCCATGTTGGGTTGTTCACAAACGGATTTTCTAATTGTGTCCACAAAGTTCTTACATGCCCAGTGGGCATCACTGGACCTTGGATAGCTCTCCAGGTTGGATTTATGAACTTGCTGATTTTTTGCAGTTTATTCTCAAACTGTATACCGTATTTCATTAATTTTTTTAAAGATCTTCTTTATTTATTTGACAGAGAAAGAGACAGTGAGAGAAGGAACAGAAGTAGGGGGAGTGGGTGAGGGAGAAGCAGGCCTCCTGCCTAGCAGGGAGCCCGATGTGGGGCTGGATCCCAACCTGAGCCAAAGGCAGACACTTAACCACACTGAGCCATCCAGGTGCCCCCGGTATTTCATTAATTTTAAAAAGCACACTTCCATCTCATTTTAACGTATTTTAAATTGGCTATCATCTTACAATTGATTAAATGTAAATTGAATGCAGTTTAGGCAGTGGTTTTGTCTTTTTTAGTAACATACACAGTCTTTTTGCATTTTATCAATGGCATCCCAGATTTGGTGAAATAGTATGCTGTTTATTTAAAAACAATGGCCCTGTACTACACATGAAAAGATGCATCATTTTTCCCCCCCTCTTCTTATTCTTTTGGATCGCAGTAGGGATTCTAGACTTCGGACTGGTAATAAACAAATGAATTTTATTTTATTTTTTGAATGGGTAATCCCTCTGTGTACCCCATCAGTTTCAAGAGTTCTGTAAGTTGCTCTAAATCCATAGCAGTATGATTATATGATTATCCCATGAATAGTCTTTATGAACAAGCGCCCAGACTGGGGTAAAATGAAGAAGTGGGTTCTCACAAAAGGAAAACTTCGTTTTTTAAAGTAACAAAATCGAATAGAGGTAAGCATCTCTGAGTAAGACCTTTCCAGAATGAATTAATATTGGCACTTTGAAAAACCTTTGTGAAATTTAACTGAGAAAGTACTTACAGACCTCCTTTCTACGTTATAAGCTGTTCTATTTATTAGTTCTTAGGATTCTACATTTTTTGTGGTACTTTTAAAAAACTTTGTGGCCATGTGCAAGAAATGAAAAGATTTGCTTTTGTAAAAAGCCAAGTTACGAATAGGTTACCAGAAAGGTCTCTCAAAAAACCCAAGTTACCAAAAGGTTACGAGAAAGGTCTCCTTGCTGATTCACTGCCGTTTTTTTCTAAGCTGAAAAAGCAGCAGGCTTCTCAAGAGAATGAATACTTATTTTAAAGTTATCTCATCCGGACAGCTACCAGCTCTCAGTTTGCTAATCAGGAATGGCCAAGACTATACCTACCCCATGTTAGGATAGGTAAGAGGGGGAGAAGGCAAAATTATCAGCATGTTTAGTAAAAACAAACAAAAATACATCCCAACGGGAATCTCACATAGAGTACGATTATTGGTTAAACAAGAGCATAACCACCGACAGAATGCAATGATTGATAATCCACATCTTGTTCTTAGAGTGATGGACCAGTGTTTTCACAACCCAATTTTAATAAAGGACTATAGAAAGGTAGATTGTTATAGCGATCCATGGGAATGCAGTTGGAAGCCATTTCAGAGAAAACCCAAGTGGATTTGTCTATAGAAGAGTCGGCCTGATGAGATTTAACTCTCCCAAGTATCTAAAGGATTGTTTATGGAAATTGAGGTTACATTTAGTCTCTTTGTCTCGTTTGAATGGAATCCAGATTTCTGCTTGTTAAAGGGTTATTAAAAATTCAACTGACTATATTTCAAAGATAATTGGCTTTATTAATTGATTAATGAAACAAGCAGCATCCCCTCTAGCAAGTAGAGGGGAACTCCAAAGGGCTACAGAAAGGGTAAGGTTTTTAAAGCCAAGACAAGGGAGTCATAAACAGAAAAAAGGATTATTTCAGGTGAGGTCATCTTCATTTGGGGACAAAAGGGTTTTAGTATGTGGATTACGTCATTTTCCTTTGGGGGATAAAGAGCCCTGTGACGGATTACCTTATTGGTGTCAACCAGAAAATTCCTGACTGACTGGTTAAAGGTTACATTCCTGAGGGGTTGAAACTGCAGTTAAGTTAGGTATTAAGTCTTGGTTTACCAGTATGGGGCCTTAACCTAAGTGATGCCATTTTGGGCCTGTGGTTTTCTTTTTAACAAAGGAAAAACCATTTATCAATTAAGATTGCTAAGAAATGGATTTGCTGCATTTTGAGGAAGTGAACTCTACATTACTTGAAGTATTCTGGGCACTTGCTAGAGAGTTTATTTAGCAGTTCAATTCTTAGATGAGGAACTGGACTGGATTCTTCCCACCCCAGGGGAATTCTGATTTCTGTGATTTGGGCTGTCAAAATCTTTATAAAGATTTTATCTTTCTACTCTGTTTACCTCTTCTTAGGTGTGTACGGTTTCATGGTAAACTATCTGTCACTGGTGACCAGTAGTCATGTAAACGAATGCAGTGATCATAGAGACTGCTTTTTTATGTGCTTATTATTCTATATTATATAGAAATCCTGTGGCCATTTTGTTGTTGCCTTGAAGTATACAGACAGTTGCTTTATTGTTATTAAAATGGGAGGACTAGTTTTCATCAAATTATAGTCATCTTTGTTAGTTGAAATATATTGAGTTAAATACCCAGCAGTGGGATAAAATTCATGGAACTCTGCTGCCTTATTTTCCCTCTTCACTTTTAAACATTATGTTGAAATTAAGAGTCAGCCAGTTTTGCTTAAACTAAGTATAGATGAGATGTGCTCAAGGATCTTGAATACGTTGATTTTTTTTCTTCCTTTTATTTATTTATTTTTATGGTGTTCTTTCTAGGACGTTATTCCTCTGATTGGTCCATAGAGCACTTATGTCAAAATTACTGGCGTGTGCGGTTGGTGGGAGGTGGGGAGGAAGAGAGAGGTGGCTAGCCCGGAGGGGGGGGGGGGGAAAGCAGATGCCAGAGGCCTGGAAATCTACATTTTCAAAAGTTTTGGGTATTCTAAATGTACTCACATTTGAGGTTCACAGCTGGAAGGATTTTAGGGATTGTCAACTAACAGCTGTTTTCTAGAATCGGCAGGCGTAGACAGAAATGACAGCAGTGCCATGCAGCATATTACTCTTCAAAAAGCATAGAATTTATTAGGTTCCTTTTCTTTTACTTTGCATTTGAGGCAGTTAACATGGACAGTTAAGTGACTTGCCCAAGGACCTCCAGATTGGATCCCATATCTCTACTGAGCGCTGCTTGGTTTGGGGAGAGGGGACATGTTGAAGAGAAGAACATTTAAAAATGCCATTCAAAAGCTGAAATGAACCAGGGACCAGCCTCAGTGATGCTTTTTATATGTTGCCATTTTGAATATCCTGAGTGTGCTGTCACCGTAGACTTTTTAATGTGTCACATTGAATTGGAAAAACAATTCCGTTGAGATTAATTGGAGCCATATATTTTCTGAGTGTGGTTTTCTACCTGGTTTGTAGTCATCTACAGAGCCCCCAAGTCCACAAGATTATTTTCACTTCCTGCTTCCCCACCTTCTTCCAGGTTAGGTTATCTGTCTAGAGCCTCCCCTCTTTTCAAAGAGAAGGTCAACTTTCTACCCCAAACCCTTCCCATTATCTCATTATCTACTCTTCCCTTTGTTCTAGCCACACATTGCGCTACAGACCTGACCTCCTATCTGTGGCCAGGAAGTTCTTAATCAGATATTTTGGCATTGTTTTTGTCATCTAAAAGTGAACAGGGCCCTCCTTGTTAAGTACGAGGCTGAAGGTGTGTCTTGTTGAACCTCAGGACATGTGTGTGTGTGTGTGTGTGTGTGTGTGTGTGTGTGTGTATATATATATATATGGGGATTATTTTATAGGTGAAATCAGGAGGAAGAGAAGTCACAAAACAATGGTTTCTTAAAGGCAGTGATGGAGAAAAAGACAAAAATTCATGCTCACAGTTTAATCTGAGTAGGAGTGCCTGGGAAGGGAGGGGTACAGGCCTAACATTTTTACCTTGAAGGAATTTGTGAGTTGCTCGTGTTTTGTATATCATGCATATCTGTTTGTGGTTATTCCCATTTGGATGTATTTTTGTTTTTATTGATCGTGTTGATAATTTTGCCTTCTCCCTTTCCTATCTATCCTAATATGGTGTAAGCATAGCCTTGGCCATTCTTGATTAGCAAAATGAGGACTGGCAGTTATCTGGATGATCTCACTTTAAAATATATCCATTTTCAGGGCGCCTCGGTGGCTCAGTCAGTTAAAAGTCTTGATTTTGGCTCAGGTCATGATCTCAGGGTCGTGAGATGGAGTCCTGCGTGGGTCTGCTTGAGATCCTGTTTCTCCTTCCCCACCCTTTCTCTAAAATAAATAAATATATTTTTTTAAAAAGTAAAATTTAAATAAAATAAAATATATCCATTCTCTTGAGAAGCCTGCTGGTTTTTTAGCTTGGGAAAAAAAATGGCGGTGAAGCAGCGAGGAGACCTTCCAGATAACCTGTTCCCTAAGCATAGACCCTGTGTCTTCATTGGTCTCAGGTCCCCTTAGTGAAGGGAGGTTTGATAATTTAAAAGTGAAATTGTAGCCTGTTCAGTAAAAGTGTTTCTCTGGAGCCAGTGTGCCAGGGCTAGAAAGTATTTCTGCCATAAAGCAGGCCGCTGCCCCTTGAACAATAACTATGTCAGCACATTTTTATAGCTGAGAAAAATAGCTGGCCAGGGTTGACCCAACCTTCCCACAGTTACTCCGAGGTGTTTACTGACTGCCTTTGATCAGACTTCAAATGAGAGAGTCTAACCTATTTGTGGTGGTTGTTTACTGTCAGTGCTCAGTCTGCCCTTTGTTTTTCCCACACAAACAAGAGTAAAAGCACCAGGCTGTGTCAACGTGGCTGGTCTATAGGAACTCTCATTTATTTTCCTGGCTGCTTCTCTGTGGTTTAGGTAAGGCAGAGACTAGAACTATAAATTGAGCTTGTCATTTCAAAACCCATTATTAGATCCCAGCTCCTGGACCATTTAGAGAATTTTTATTAGCAATCAAAACACTTTTGTAAAATTAAGTTAATTTCAGAAGATTGCCGGGCATGGTTGCGAGAGACCATTTCCAATCTGACATTGGGTGGTTGTGGGTGAGTGTGGCCTCCTAGGTTGGAGAGAAAATGACATCAGGTAGGTAAACTGTCATTGGTGTCTAACAGGAAGTTCCCCTTTTTATGTTTCCGTAATAACCAGTGCCTTAAAAAAAAAAAAAAAAAAGTGGTTCTATTCCGTGGATCTGAGACGTTCTCTCTTGCCTTGAGATTTGAGGTGCATGAGTTCAAAGAACTGAGCTAGTAAACTGTGGTGGAATATTGTCAATAAAATGCCTGTAGAATATTGTCAGAGGCTTTCCTTTATGGCCAGCAGTCTTGCAAGGGCAGCTAAGGAGCCAACCCGGAGAGTAGTTAGAAGGAATCCTCTTTGGTTTGTTTTGTAAACCTCATTAGAGCAATGGACAGTTGCATTCTCCTCAGTATGTTGAGTAATGATATGTTGAGTAAAGAGCTATACATCGTTATTACTTGTACTTCAGCTCTCAGGTGGGCGATGTTTGCAATGTTCGTTCCTTTGTAAGGTGAATGATGTCAAACAGCACAAGGAATGCAGTCACATACTGTCTGGTTAATAATTTCGGTAGCGGTTGCTGACTTGCCCCTCTAGAGTGTGACCTTGGAATTGTGAAGTGGAGCTCAGATAGGATAGGAAGTACACATTTGCCCCCTCACTTCTTCACAAAGTTGTCATGAAAATAACTGTTTGCTGTTTTGCATTTTGCTCACTCTTTTTTGTCCCTCCTGGAAGAAGAGGGCCTGTGGCCAGCCAGATGGGCAGGGAGTGGGGGTCTGGAGAGGAAGAGTAGACAATGTTTTTTATTCATCCCTCTTCCCCTTTACAACCCTTCTGCAGAGAAAGCTGGCAAGAGAAGGAAGGCAACCCCATTGAAATACTCGGGACCGCAGTGAATACATTCTCCCCCATTCTTGCTGGCACGTTGCTTAGTTGCCCTTCTAGCCATCAGCTTTTAACAAACAATCTTTCCGATTCTTTCCCTTACAAAACTAACAGACTTTAGTGGTTTTTTTTCCAGTGCTTTTCTTTTAAAAACAGCAGTTTGTGTTTTATTTGAGGACCTTTAGAATGAGATGTAAAATACTCTGCTGTAATAAATTGTTACCCTCAACAAGACCGTCCAGGGGCTCCGCTGGAATTGTGCTCAGCTATTTTGACTCCATGTTTCTGGTAACTCCCTCTTGAGTGTGTTATTAGCTGGAACACCAGCAGTTGGGTGAAATGGTCCCTCTTTACTCAGTGGAGGAGGGGCGAGGGCCTCTCAGATGCCCTTGATGGGCCTAATAGGAAATATGCTGGGGAAGAAGGCTTTGAAATAAAGGCTCAGTGCCCCTTTTTGATCCCTTTATTTTAACTTGGAAGCTAATATTTGCAGAGCCTTTAAGAAAAAATGTCAGAAGCCCTTTCGTAGTATTATTGAGTTGTCTTTGTATCATTCCTGAGAGCTTTGAAGTTTATAAGGTTCTGGTTGAAGTATAAATAAGCAAATCCATGGATTATCTGCCATTAAAACCTGACATTAAAAATCAAAGACAGACTGGCTGTTGGTATTCATTTAGAGAGTTTAACTCACAGGGTGAGAGTGAGTATGTTTCATTGGTAGACTGGTAAATTATATTCTGAATTTGGACAAGGCAATAAAGGTAAGCTTGTAAGCTGCGTCCCAAGACCTGGGGAGGTACAGCTTCGGCATCAGCGTGAAGCCATGGTTTGTTTTTTGTTTCGTTTTGTTTCCAAAGAGCATCTTCTCGAGCTAGTTGTCATAGGCCTTCTGCCTAATTCTTTAATCATTTCGATTGCTGGACTGCAGTTTCACCAAAGTGTCCTTGCTGCTTGAGACGTCTGGGCCTTATGCCTGACTCCACAATGAGACACACAGTGTCTGTCACAGAAGCCTCGGGCCGAAAGCAGGACACGAGGCTAGGGGTTCCCCTCCCCCATGCACTGCTGTGCACCTGTGTGTTACTCATGCTGCATGCCATTCTCTCCATAATTAAGAACAGCAGTGCTTGTTCTCTTCAATGTCATCGTGTCCTTGGCATCCTGCACAGGGCCTGGCAACTAGATCGGGTTCAGCAAGGGTTTGTTGAGCTGAACAAGCAGCAATCAAGAGTTCTAAAATCAGGAGTTGAGGGCTGTGTTACTGGCCTCCCATAATACCTGATGTCTTTGACAATCTTAGTTTGTATTTCTGAGGCCTTGAATTTAAGTCAAGTTCTTTTTATGAGACTGACACGCTACCTACTGTGCTAACGGGGCATCTTAAATCAAGTTCTTTTTAAAACTGTAAGATCATCATTCCTGTTGTGGATGGATTCACCAATTTCCTTCCCTCTTCACTTCTGATCACTGGGAGTTTTCAGTATCCTTCCCTTCTGTACCCCATGGGTAATTTTTATTGTCCAGCTCTAGAACTCTTGGCCTCTAATAAAGCAATTGCTGCTTATTTATATGGTAGTTTATTGCTAACCTAGCTGTTGTAAAATCCTCTCTCTGGCTTTCAATTCCTTATAGCATCTTGTATGATAAGGGTTTATTGAATTGAATTCAATAAAATATCAGTGGGTATAAGTGGAGCACTCTGATCACACAGTAATTATATGGATTTTATTAACATTTAGGCCTTAAAACAGTGTGATAAGGTAGATTGGGTAGATATCTCAATTGAAATTGAAGTAAATTGGGATTCAGGAAGTTTGGTCTCATGTGAGAATTATACCCTTGTCCCCTAATTCTTAATGCCCTTAAAACAGCTAAGGAGCGAGACAAGTCCCAGGAGAAATATTTGAAAGGAAAGACTTACATTTCAAATGGACAAAACAGCCTTGATAACTAAAATGGGGGCACTCTGTGTGTTGAAATGGTTAAGAGGCAAGAGGCGGCGACCCATTATTTATGAATTCTCTCAGTAAGTCGGTTTCGGTTCTTGGTATGGTGGTAGACATCGAGCAGATTTCAGCAGCAGTGTTTAGTCATTAGGCAGTTTGTTGTTATGGTCACTTGCTAGTTTAAGGACAATGGTTGAGCTAGACTAGAAATTCTTGGAACAAAGCCAATGTCAGAGACCTGTAGAGGGATCAACTTTCAGAAAACAAGGGCTGATCCCTTGGTTTAAAGCTGTCTCAGGACATTTGAAAGCTAGGCACATCCAACTTTCTAAGGTTTCCTAGAAATTAGGGGAAGATAACAGGTAATTTGGGAGAAAGGTAGATAACCATGGAAAGGCATCCTTCCTTTCCTTTTTCAAACTTGGTCCTTTTTTAAAAAAAAGATTTTATTTATTTATTTGACAGACAGTGATCACAAGTAGGCAGAGAGAGAAGGGGAAGCAGACTCCCCGCTGAGCAGAGAGCCCAATGCGGTGCTCGATCCCAGGACCCCGAGATCATGAGCTGAGCCGAAGGCAGAGGCTCTAACCCACTGAGCCACTCAGGCGCCCCGGTTCTTATTTTTTTAATCATAATTAGTCTATCTTGAATGCATGACATTTTTAAATGGAGGATGCTGTTTGCAAACTACAAGATGGAACATGTTTTTGGAAGAAAAAGTGTCAAGAACAAAACAGTTAACTTGCTCACTTGAGAGACTGTAATTCTTCTTTTGTCTCTGTGGTAAATGAATGTACACTGTTAATCCTTTTGTTCATACAGTATTTTTCTTCCATGACTTGACCAGGCAATGTGCTAGGTACTTTTATATACATCACATCTTGTGGTCCTCAGAACAACTCTTGAAAGTAGGCCCTGGTCATCCCTTTTTTTAGGTGGGAAAAGTGCTCGTCAGAAAGATTTTAAGAAACTTGGCCAAGGTCATGCTAGAAAGTGGTGAGGTTCACTCAGACCCAGGCCTCCCTAGCTTCCCGGCTTTTGTTGTTCACAGTGCCTGGATTCTGCCCTTCCCAGCCTGTTTCCTCTCTGGCAGGATGCCTTTGGGAGGGAGTAGTTATAGGTCAGAGAGACAGGCTTACCCGAGCCACAGAAATGCACCTTCCCTTCCTGGGCTCTATATGAAAATCACACCTTGAGGGAAAATGACTCCACAGCAACATTTTCAGGAACAATGAATCTTTCTCCCAAAGGAGAGTAAAATTAGAAACAACTAAACTATGCTAGTAAATCCAAAGGGCCTTATAAACATTCATTTCTGTAATTACTAACGTGTCCATGGGATGACAATCTTTTAAAATTTTACTAAATTTAGACAGTGCCTGAAATGCCTCCTTGTGTTTATTTGTTGATATGTCTGTATCCCTGTAATTAGACTATCAGTCCTTTGAGGATAGAGAACATATCTTCTGGTCTTTGCAGAGCACAGCGTCTGGAAATAGCATCCTCCCAAATACAGATGTATAAGGAATGAAGATGTGCTCTAGGAGATTTATACTCCGTTGCTTTTGGGTAGTTTATTAGTAACTCCAGGTTTCCTGTCTTACTTTTTAAAAAATATTTTATTTATTTATTTGAAAGAGAGAGAGTGAACAAGTAAGAGAGAGAGGGCACGAGCAGGGGGAAGGGCAGAGGGAGAAGCAGGCTCCCTGCTGACCCAACCCCAGGACTCAATCCCAGGACCTCGGGATCACATCCTGTACTGAAGGCAGACTCTTAATTGACTGAGCCACCCAGGCGCCCCTCCATTTTTTTGGTTATATGCTCATCATCTTAAAAAAAGGAAGTGACATGCACCTAACATCAAGTTAACTATTTTAATTCATTGGCATTTAGTAAATTCATGGTGTTGTGCAATCGCTACTTCTATTCTTAAACGTTTTCATCATCCCAAAAGGAAACCCTGCACCCCGCAAGCAGTTTCTCTCCAGATTCTTCCCACCCCTC